TATATAGCATTGTTATCGATGTTCTCATGATCTCAGTTACCTTTCTCTACAGATGAAAATAATCAAGATGATGGTGAATCAGACAAAGCTGAAGACAAAGCAGCAGATGAGGTATGTGTCTAATCTTTTTTGATCTGTCTTGCCTTTAATCAGTCAACCGTCAGCTCTCTCAAAATTTATTATCCGATAACAGCAGCATGCGGCATGAAAGCAATGTTTCGGAATGCTTCGAACTAGCTTGTATTCAGCTTCATTATTTTCATTCAAATGCTTGCAGATGGTGATGGTGTCAAGTCCCGAAATGGATGCTGAAACGAGTGATGGTCAAACGAGTGCAAAACGAGCGAAGTTGGACTCGTCAAATACGGAATGCCAAGAAGAGGTGATCTTAGTGTCTAGTCCTGAACATGAATGTGAACCTGATGAAGTGAGTGTAATTTCTTCAAGTCATGATGATAACATTGCTAACGATAACGATCACGACGGTAATGATAATGAAGATGATACCAATATTCATCATGCTAATATTTCTGACGAAAGTGATTAGATTTGATTGTGTGTATATTGAAACGAACGGTATATGTATACGTCGTTATCGATCTCGGAATTCTTTATCTCAATAAATTTTTATTCATTCATTTTGGTGTTTAGTATTATCACTCTATAAAGCTTTGTATTTCATTCGTCTTTTTATCGCGTAATTTTTCAAACTTTGAATTAGAGAGGAGGAGAACGATTCGATTGTGTAGAATTTATAATGGATACTGTACTACTTCCACATGTTTTCAGTTAACTCTTTTCACATCTGGTTTCATTGTATGCGGTAACAATAAATTGAAACTGATTAACACGTTTATATGATGAAAAATTTGAATTTAATTTTGTTTGAGTATTAATGTTGCTGTGAATTTTATATCCGTATCTTGGGCGCATGTGGTGGGCAATTATCAGTGTATCTCAGATGCTTAATCGCACTGTTGTTACGAAGGTGGATTTTAGAAGTGAATTTGATTTCATTTCTTCTTTGTGTCTTATTGTATTTTTCGTAAGTATCGAAAAGATCTACATGAGAATGAAAACATGCAACTTTTTGGCTCAAGGAGGCATCGTCGGGCAAGCTTGGGTTCATTCAAATTATTGTACACACGACAGGGTCGTAATCTAATAGTGTTCTGTTCATGGCATCGCTTGAAAACAGATCTTCACATCAGAAGCTTGTCGTACTTGTTCTACTAGAAGCCTGTACATTGATGGTCAGATCCCGTGGTCACCTTCAACAGATGCTTCATTATCTCAACAGTATTGGTCCATTTATATCTCTCATGATTCAATTTTCTAGAAAAGCATCTATCTCCGTCCAAAGTTCATCTACAACTCTTTACAATGACAGTTTTTTTCTGCTCGTTGGTACTCCAAACCATCATCTTCTCTTATCCCCATACATGCATTCTCCGGTCATCCTCGTCACATTAAAAAATAATTGCAATTTCATCCGTGCAGTAGAATATCTCTTAATTATTCCTTCATTTTTCAATCACTCAGCGTGGTCTACAGAACACTACTTATGGTTCAAAACACTAATTATAAGTTACCCTCAGCATCATACTTATCCAACCATAGGAGCTGAAACCTAAGAAAAGAACTTTCATTACTTATAAGAATTGTTGAGTTCGCAATAATATGTCATTGCTACTGACATAAGCATTATGCTATAATTTAATTAACAATAAAGTCTTTGGACAACATAAAAATAGTTTATAGATTCTTAGAGAACGTGAAGACCTCAACATCCTCTGCAAACATGAAGCATATTGAATTTGGAAAAAATCACCCTTCAGTAAGAATAAGACAGTGAAGAGAACAGTAACGAATTCTGATGCATTGACATTATCAGAATGCATCAACCACTGTTGATGCATTCTGACGATCTAGAGGAATCAACAATTTAGACTGATTGAAAACGGTTCTCGGATTCAATTGGCTGAAGAAACCCGTATGAACCTTGTAATTTAAGTTTAATTTATGTACGGATACTCATTACCGAAGCTTGTTTTATAATTGATTGGCGTATGTTGTTTAAATATCTATCTGTTACTGAATGATTCAGTAAAAATTTCCAACTGTTCAATGTCGCTGTTAGGTTTTTTCCTACACAAATAAATGGTGCAATTGCAAATTTTAAGGAAAGATTCCAAAGTAGCAATAGCGATAGCGAATAGTGGGCTAATTTTGCTTAATCAGCGGATCAGCGATAGCGCTTCGCTATTGCTTGGGTGTTGGTGGCGATTGTGGATATTTTTGGCAGAACTAACAGTTTTTAGCTCAGCGATAGCGGAGCTATTGCTGTTTTTTAGTAGCATGCTTATTTCTGCTAATACCAATTGAAATGAAATTATACTGGATAGTATTGTGCAGTATAAGTGGCCCATTGTGCAGTATAAGTGACATGCGTACTAATAACAACTGGAATTAATCCATAGTGCACAGTATTCACCTCAATTGCAATATAAGTGAAATGCATACCAATACCACCTGAAATGAATGCATATTCCACAGCATTCATCTGCTTCGCAGTAAAGGTCAAATGCATGTTAATACTAGCTGAAATGAGTCCATACTGCACAGTTTCATCTGAGTTGCAGTATAGGTCAGATGCATACTAACACCAACTATAATGAAACCACACTTGTCTCCTCGACAAGGCACATCGAAAAGAAGATATTTTCCTGTATCCCGTTCGATGTCACCGAACACCCAATGCCCTTCCTTCCACGTTCCGCGCTGGTACTTGCTCTGGAAGAACGTGCTCTCGTCTATCGGCAGTAAGCGGAGTTGGAATTCGGGATAGATACCGCCTAACACTGGTGGATGGTCTTGACACCATCTACCAATGTTGGGCGGTATCTATCCCGAACTGCATCAAAAGAATTTCCATTTGGAATGGAATTTGTATTGAAAAAGCCTCAGCGGTAACCTAGTGTCCGACCTTCATTTTGTGATTCACAGCCTTAGCCACTCCTTCAAATCAACCCGTCGAAGTCATGAAACAATTTTCAGGATCACGACTAGTTATCCTGAAAACAATTTTCATAGAAATGGATTAAATTCGGGCTCATAACTTCTCTTCAAATGGCGCATAGAAAATAATACTGATCTATTTGTGATCAGCTTCATGAGTCGTTCAAAAGGTATATGGTTCATCAGATATCTCAGAACCTCCATTAGCATTTATTTGTAACAGAATAATGTGGTGACAGATTGAAATCATCTTAAAATTCACTTGAATTTGTGAACGATGATTTCGACCAAAGCATGCAACCATGAAAATCATTGCCTTACACTAATAGTAAGTAAACTATCATAATACTCTTTTCATAGTTTACATTCCTAATTCGTAATTTACGATCGTCCAATTTTTTTTGATGCGCCTGAGAAGATGTGGCCTATATAAGCAACTTATTTTCCCTGCACAATTTGTTCATACCCTTATGCCTTGAATTTCACTCATCGCCAGATTATGGATTGCTCAGCTTTCATAAATTCGGTAAAAGTTGTTCTATAGACATTCTCCGTTTACTGTCATACTACTTCCCAAGGATTGATCTCATTTCAAGGTTTATTCGACAAGATATTTTAGGAGGCCTCAGTTACTGGCTGTTGGCTAATCAGTCGTATAACTCTGAGCATAATTTAATTCTCAATATTGCGGCAGTGCTTATGAATAGTTGAACCCTGATCAGTATTTTGTATGAAAGAACTAAGTTGCCGTTTTCTAGAGTATTTATACACTTTGAGTAGTATATTCGCTTTCTTGGGTTTGGTATCTGCGTTAATGGACATTCGAATGTCACTCGTGGTGAAGGATTCTTGTCCTTAGCATATCACTACGTCCAGCGCATTGTTTCTAATCCGCTAGCCAACATATGCCCATATACTTCGTTAATCGTTGTTGTGTTTAACTTCTTCTAACAATATCACGTTCTTGCAAAAGTCGGCCTTAATCAGAGAGCTTCTCGGTTTCCTATAAATAAGAGCTATCGTTGATGTCATTAACCACCAGAAATCTGTTTCCGCTCTTTAAAGTTAAAGCGTTAACATCGTTGTTACGAGCCTTACAGCGGTTCATCTCAGTTTGCTCACATGAGCAAGAGGTCCACAAAACCTTTCAAGCTTACCGGTTGAATTCAGTTTTTCTTCGTTTCCAGCAAATGACATTCATTCTCGATGTCGTATCATGCCTGCACTCTCGCTCCTCACGGTCACACATGTCGAGATTTGTTTCATCAAAACTTGAATTGTTCCATGCTTTGTAATTATGTTCTGAATTCTCTCCTATACAGATCAGTGCCTGCAAGTATGCCCCAAGCACAAACACGCAGTTTGTTTTCTAATACTTCACCTTCGTTTGCATTCTTAAATGTCAATCAGACGCTTTTTGGCCATGTCGATCTTCACTTAGCAATGTGTATTTTCATTAGTATGCTTTTTTACTTTCATTTTTACAAGCGAGCCATTCGGAAATGCAACAGCTTATGAAAAGCATTTTTAATTTTGCGATTTCAGTATGGCTTCCTTCAAAAAAGCATGATTTTCTAACGCTCTTAAACGTATTTATATTTATATTTACATACATATATATTCTTTTTATCCGAAACTTGGGTTTATTGAAAGTGAGGAAATGTTTAATTCAATTCAGTTTCGCACTTGATGGAAAAGCATCTACGAGTTCACAGCTGATCGAGATACACATAAATTGTTTTGAAAAAGAAATCAGTCAAGAGACTTCCGATTGTAACCAAGCCATGAGTGCTTACTAGAAAATTCGTTTGTGGAGGCGTGTAATCGGCTTGCAAAATGCATATTAAGAAAATTGTAGTAGAATTCAATTTGACGAGTTCATTGCGCGTTTTTGAACTGATGTATGTTCGGAACGGCAGGAAAAAGAATCCAGTCTTATAATGGGCAGCCAATCTAGAAGACTGAACAAGATTCCTTAGAAGTGCTTCAAACCGTGAACGGATCGATGAACGGCGAAAAGAGTTTCGCTTTGACTGCAATATCAGTGTGAGGTTTCGAATAACTGAATGATCGGTAATTTCCCACCTTAAAAATTCGCAATGGCATTTCTACATTCTTACACTCGAGAAACCTTTCACCATAAGTGGACACACCTCTTTCTTTCATTTCATTCACACCGATCATTTTTATTCTTTTTTCGATCGTGTAGCACGACTGACAGACTTCCATGTCAGCTTCGTTTCACATCAGTCTACCTCCAGTCCTGGAATTCACTCTTGGTGGTGTGTCAATCAAATGTCTCTCACATATAATTTCAGCATTTCATTCAAACGTTTAATTGAAATAATTCTTTTCATTTTTGGCCAAAATTCTCTTTCCGCTCTTTTCACTCGAATGGTACCTTCAATTTTTTCCTCGTCAAACATTACTGTGAGTAATTTTATCGGCAATACAATGTGTTATATTAGTGCAGTCCATCTGTACAATCCATGCATTTAAGGGTCTATAGTTACTAGTACACTCATGAAT